GGTGTGGGGCAGGCAGAATGAGCAACGCTTGCTGCAGGAGTGGGAGTTACATATAATTTAATAAATTCATTTTGCGGTTCTTTCTTGTTTAAAATGAACTTATACGAGAGTTATACATATTTTTACAATGTCACTACATTTCCTCTTATGGTTGTTACCTTTCTTAGTATCTCATTATCGACCACACAGATTTTTTTCCAAAACAAATTACAAAAATATTTTCTATTGTTGTAAATAATATTGTGTTAAAGAAGAAACAAGCACAGAATTTGTTTCCCAACTTGAAAGATCATTTTTCAGGACAAGAAAAGTGAGCCGGCTGCACCCTCTACTACTATTGTACACCCGTGGGGAAAAAGACAGATCTTAGTCAGCCACCAATTGTGCAAGTTCTCCACTTTAAAAAGATGAGAGGCCTGTAATTTTCATCCCTATGTATACCATCAACTATGAGAGACAAAAAAATCCAGAAAATCACATGTCTGACTTTTAGAGAATTTATTTGCAAATATGCGTGGAAAAATAAGTATTTGGTCAATAACAAAAGTTAATCTCAATACTTGTTATATACCCCTTTGTAGCAATGACAGAGGTCAAACGTTTTCTGTAAGTCTTCACAAGGTTTTCACACACTGTTGCTGGTATTTTCCCATCTGCCCCATGCAGACTCCTCTAGAGCAGATGATGTTTTGGGCTGTCCCGCTGGGCAATACGGACTTTCAAACCCCTCCCAAAGATTTTCTATGGGTTGAGATCTGGAGGGGACCTTTTGGCTAGGGCCAACTCCAGGACCTTGAAATGCTCTTACGAAGCCACTCCTTTGTTGCCGGGCGGTGGTGTTTGGGATCATTGTCCATGCTGAAAGACCCAGCCACTGTTCCATCGTCATCAATGCGCGCTTGCGGATGGAAGGAGGTTGTCACTCAAAATCTCAACAGTGGCCCCATTCATGTCTTCCGTACACGGATCAGTCGTCCTGGTCCCTTTGCAGAAAACAGCCCCAAAGCATGGGTTTCCACCCCATTGTTTCACGAGTAGAGTATGGTGTTCTTGATGCACTCAGCATTCTTACTTTACTCCTCCAAAACGTCCGTAGTTGAGTTTTTTACCCAAAAAAGTTCTATTTGGTTTTCCATCTGACCATATGAAATTCTCCCAATCCTCTTCTCTGGATCATCAAATGTACTCTCTAGCAAGACTTTCAGACGGCCTTGGAGCATGATAACTGGAGTAAGCAGGGGACACGTCTGGCAACGTGCATGATTTGAGTCCCTGGCGGGAGTTGTGTATTGATGGTAGCCTTTGTTACTTTGGTCCAGCTCTCTGCAGTCATTGACTAGGTCCCGTGTGGTTCTGGGAGTTTCGCGCTCACCGTTCTGTGATCATTTGACCCCACGGGTTGAGATCCTTGCGTGGAGCCCCAGATCGAGGGAGATTATCAGTGGTCTGTATGTCTTCCATTTTCTAATAATTGCTCCCACAGTTGATTCTTCCACAGCCAAGCTTGCTTTACCTATGCAGATTCAGTTCTTCCAAGCCTGGGTGCAGGTTACAATTTTGTTTCTGGTGTCCTTTGACAGCTCTTTGGTCTTGGCCATATGAGATTGGAGTGTGACTGTTTGAGGTTGTGGACAGGTGTCTTTTATACTGATAACGAGTTCAAACAGGTGCCATTAATACAGTTAACAAGTGGAGGACAGAGGAGGCTCTTAAAGAAGAAGTTACAGGTCTGTGAGAGCCAGAAATCTTGTTTGTTTGTAGGTGACCAAATACTTATTTTCCACCATAATTTGCAAATAAATTCTTTAAAAATCAGACAATGTGATTTTCTGGATTTTTTTTTTTTCTCATTTTGTTTCTCATAGTTGAGGTGAAAATGACAGGCCTCTCATCTTTTTAAGTTGGAGAACTTGCACAATTGGTGGCTGACTAAATACTTTTTTGCCCCACTGTATATGTGTATGTATCTGAATTTAGACTGGTTTCCCAGTACTGCAGTCCTAGTGGCATAGAAACCGTCTCAGCAGGGATGTGACCTAGAACAGCAGCCGCAATGTCAGACCTGTTAACTCAGAAAAACACTCTAAGTAAATACGCTAAATGTGATAAAGATCATGAGACCAGAAGGTACAACGTCCAAACACTGCCTCCTGAACGCTTAATTGATACACTGATACTAGAACCCTGTTTTCACGCTCTTCCTGTATTTTTCAGCGTTATTCGAGGAACTGCAGGGCCTGGACATTTTCTTGGCAGAACTCTACAAGTAAGAACTCCGAACTTTGACCTCTTCACCTGACTTACATCAGTTTTCTGTTTGAGGGAATACAACAGGTTCGACAGAGTAAAGTCGAAAGGGTCGACTCTCTCCTGATAAGCGGGGTTCACTGACGTTATTTTTAACTTGGCACGACTTGTTGTTGCATCAACTCAGTGACCGATTACCTTTCAGCAGACATATTTATACCCCCCCCCCCCTCTCATCATCTCACTGTCTTGTTCTCGTCCTTCCTCAGACATCTGGACAGCAGCAGTAATGAGAGGCCGGACATCAGCACTATTCAGAGAAGAGTCAAGGTACGGCCTTAATCACCCGTGTTTCTATGACAACAGGAGACCTTTCCACATGCCGCCTGGAAACGGCTTGGTTATCAATGCCCGCATTTACAATGTGTACGATACCGTTTATGAGCCTGCTATTGGTGAATCATTAACATTGAGTCACTACAGTCTTATCAATGAACAACCACACCTATATTTCTGATAAAGATACTACACTTAATTTTTTTGACTTATTTACATTTCTTATATTATCTTTTATGTTATCCTTTTGTATTACATGGCTTAGTTGAGTACTCGATGCTGATTGGTCAATTCAGAACACGTGACACGTTGTTAATCCAGAACTTAATGACCGTTGTTAAGGACGCCAACATCTGCACAAACAAGTCTGTTCGATTTAACTGTATACAGTTTGGCTGAAAAGCAAACTGCATGCACCCTAGATGCTGCCAGTCGGGTGTTCTTTTCCCCATAATGACTGCCTCGCTGCACATTATCCCTTACATGGCACATTCTTACTTTTTATGTTATTATAAATATTTTGACCAATTTCAACTGGGGTAAAAAACTGGTTCTGATTTTAAATTATTTTTTATTGTACCTTTTTATAAAAAGTGTTTCTGAGCCAGTTGAGCCTTTATCAGAGAGATATATATGAATGGTAGGGATCAAGGGTCTCACCTATAGCGACCCCAGGCCGTATTCAAACCTCTGCAAATGGGACCCCAGCTACGAAGTGAGCTGTGCAGCCCTAATGAATCATTTGTGGGTCAAAGTTATTTTTGACGACTCAACCGCGTCTTCTCTTCTGCTTTCTCTCTTTTAGAAAGTGACCCACGACATGGACATGTGTTACGGCATGATGGGCAGTCTGTTCCGCAGCGGCTCCAGACAGACACTGTTCGCCTCCCAGGTGATGCGTTACGCCGACCTGTACGCCGCCTCCTTCATCAACCTGCTGTACTACCCCTTCAGCTACCTCTTCAGAGCCGCTCACGTGCTGGTGAGTGTCTGTGTGGAAATGAAAAAGTACTGTTACGAAGGACCTCTAATGAGGGAGAAGGAAAACACAAGTGTCAGAAAAGGTCTTTCCTTCCCCAGTCACCAAACATAACTCTCAAGATTAAAATGCATTTTAGGAAAATGATTCACAAGTATGTTCAAATCACAATAACTGAAACAAGGGCGGGATCAACTGCAAAAGTTGTGGGTAATGGTAAACAAATAAACAGTCAAAAAGACATTTACTAAATGTTGCCTCTAGGATACAGCAGACACAGGATGAGACGAGTATAAAACTAAATGCTAGTTCCGCCCTACAGCTTCAGCGCTATCTCGAACTAAAAGTAGGTTATCATATCCTGTTACACAGATACCCACAATGCTCATAAGTAGGGCACTAGGTCTCATTTAACAGGTCTTTGAACTTACCCTGTGTGTGAATCTGGCCATCAGCCCTGAGTGACTCAGGCAGAAGAGGAGTGTGAATACTTTAACATCAAAAATCATATTTCATCTCAAAATAAACGTGAGTTTGTGGCAGTGTTACACATGTCCATTTTTCAATGATAGAAAGAAGAAAGAACGTAGAAAAGCATCAAAATAAATCTTGGTTATTAAAAAATCCCCCTACAGAGGTAACTCAAATGTACTTTGTTAATGCTATATCGCTCTGGAGGGCCGGTGCCTTGCTCAAGGGCACCACGGCAGGGCCCAGGAAGTGAACTGGGACCTCTCCAAGTAGCAGTCCACACTCCATATTTAGATCTATTCGGGGACTTGAACCGGCGACTCTATGGCTCACAGTCCAAGTCCCTACTGACTAGACCCTCCAGAAAAACGCGGGCTAAAATCCTTGATTATGCGATTAAACATGCAGGGTTTTTATGTGATTTTATGCGGTGAAATTGCGGGAAGTTGTGAAAAAGAATAGATTTATTTTAAATATTGGGCTGTCTTATTTATTCTCTCTCACACAAAACCTGCCACTAACGTTAAACCCCTTTCCCATTCAATTAAACACATTCAATGTTTATTTAAGTTAAAAGCAATGGGGCTATTTTAATCACACTCTCTCTCTCTCACACACACTTCTCCGCCTCATTCTGTTTTCATTTACTCGTTCGTTATCTGACCAGCTTCAATCTTGTAGGCTACTCACTTTCTTGTGAAAGCTCTCAAAAGGGTTTTGGAGGTTGATGCCTCGGTGAACGTGAGTTGTTTGGCTTTGTTGTCCGCAGCAGCAGAAAGCATTTTCGAATGTTTGAATTAATCAAAGTGGGTCGTCACCGTCGACTTTCTCTCAGACGTATGCTCCAACACACAGTTGCACGGGGTGCAGAATAGTTTCCCCCCACTTTCGTGAAAGACATCGGGGTACTGCTTTGCCCGGTCTTTAGCAGAAATGTTCGTCGTGTGAGTTCCACACGTTCACTCTACGGTGTTGTTTACCTTCTGTGATGCGCGAGCTGATGACTTCACGGCATCA